AGCACTAACTCTTTGTCTAATAAAAGCAATTAATCTATTAATTATGCAAGGTCCTATAGTCAGCAGAAGAAGCAAGATCAGCAAGGGACCCATCAGGGCAGAAAGCAAGTCATCATCCATGGGGATCTGCTGAACCAGCCCTCGTACCAGTTTTGTGTGGCCTCCCGGTCTCGGTTGCGTTTTTCTAATCTTTCTCTGAGCCTGCTCATAGAATCTCTGATGGCTCCAGAGTGATCAATGTAAAAACAACATTCTTCTTTAAGGGCAGCATATAGTCCCCCTTCCTTAAGGAACAGCAGGTCTAAGCCTCTTCTATTCTGTAGAACTACCTCAGACAGGGAGGTGAGAGATTCTTCTAACTTAGTGACAGAGCTTTCTAGCGCTTTGATATCCTGTGTCATAGCAGCCTGCAGAGTATTCAGGCCATGATGGAGGTCTTGGGGTCCCTTAACCAGTGCTGTAGTCCCGGTACCAATTCCTGCTGCTATGCTCAAACCCAACATTACTGCTAAGGTGAGGGATACTGGTTCCCTCTTGTCCCTTCTTTGGTTATAATCATAGGCATCTATGACTGTCTCCTCCCTGGTAGTAGACATGAGGAAACAGCTGAACCATAACACAAAAGTCTCTTCACAGGGGGTAAGCCCAGTACTACACGCCCACCAGCTATTTGAATCAGGTTAAAGAGTCTATCACCAGTGGTAGGGGGCAGAGTGAAGGTTTCTGCAGTGGGAATTATCGTCCCATGGGGTTGGGGCTCAGATACGGGGAATCAGGACTAATGGGGGAGGAGGCGGTGGTAACACCCGTTGGGGAGGTCCTTGCTCTGGGAGTACCTTATCAGGTCCTATGGGAACCTCTGGAGGGCTCTCAATCTTGAGCCTAATCTGGAACGAAAACCGTTATCCTATCCTGACATATAGAACCTCAGACCCCAGGTTCGCCCCTTGGGTCAGGCAGTAAACTGCTTCCCTGGATTTGTGAAGGTGATATTGAGGGAGTCTAGGCCCTTATTCTTTCTAGCGACAGTCATCAAGTCCCATAGGGATGTGGGACGCCAGTGGGCATCTCCGGTAGTTTCACATCCCCATAGTTTGCAATAGAAATGTGCCAGTCCTCCACATCTATGTGTCTCCGACCTAGATCTGCCGTCTCTAGGGCAAACATAAAAGGAGGTCTGCTGCAGTCTTCTCTGCATAGGTCTATCTTTACATCCCGGGGAATCAGCAAGGTGCTGGCCCTGTGAAACTGTCCTTGATGAAGGGACCGTTTAGTAAATGCACCTCTTGTAAGGGTATTTCTTCATGAGTCATCCCAGGAATGTCCCATAAGTCTAACCCTGTCATGAGGGCACAAATTTCAGGAAACAAAGAGGGCCGCCAAGTACCAGGGGGAGCGACTTTAGAGGTGGACCAGGCTACATCCCAGTTTGTGATAGTACCTGCCAGGTTAATGCTTGAAGAGCATAGGGATTTCTATTCTTCTGTGGTGAGCAGGCGACATAAACGCAGCTTAAGAGGATCACCAGTCCGTTCCAGCTTCCAGGAGTCATCTTGGGTTGCAGGAGGGGCCGCTTTGCCCCATGTATGTGAGCGGTGGCGAAAGCGTACCTGCTGTCCTTGTAGATGTTGATAGCCTTTCCTTCTGCCAGCCGCAAGGCTTGTGTGAGTACGATCAGCTCAGCTTTTTGGGCCGATGTTCCCTCGGGTAAGCTGCTGGCCCAGATGTCCGCTTTCCATCTACTACCGCCGCCCCAGCTCTCCGCTTACCTTCAACAACGAAGTTGCTACCGTCCGTGTACCAATTAGGGCACCCTGGCCATGGCTGATCAGTGAGGTCTTTCCTGGTTCCGGTTTCTTCTGCCAGGATGTCCAAACATTGGTGTACCGGTAATGAGTAGTCTGTCTCTGGCAGCAAGGAGCAGGGTTTGGGATAGCCGGGGGTGCAAACAGCACTCTCTCAGTTAACAAGAGGCTCTGATAGTGAGCCATGCGGGCGATGGTCATCCAGTGGTCAGGCGGTGTCTGATGATGCTTCCCAGGGCATGTGGGGACCTAAAGTTAGTTTGTCGGCATCTTTGAGAAGCAATGCCACTGCGGCGATGGCTTTTAGGCAAGATGGCCATCCACTGGCTACAGGATCTAATTTCTTTGACAGGTAGGCCACAGGTCCCTTCCATGGTCCCAAGGCCTGAGTTAGGACCCCTCGCGCTATTCCTTCCCTTTCATCTACATAGAGAGTGAATGGCTTTGTCAGGTCTGGCAGGGCTAGGGCTGGTGCACTGAGTAAAGCCCTCTTGATCTCTTCAAAGGCTTTCTGATGGTCGAGGGTCCATGAGAAAGTCCCAGTCTCCTTAGTGAGGGGGTAGAGAGGGGGCTCCCAGATTGGCAAAACCTGGAATCCAGAGTCTACAAAACCCTGCAGCACCTAGAAATTCACTTGCTTTGGGGTTGCAGGAGTAGGGATTTGTGTCACGGTCTTTTTCCTACCTTCGGTCAGCCATCGCTTCCCCTCCTTAAGAGTGTAGCCCAAGTAGGTTACTTCTGTCTGACAAATCTGGGCTTTCTTTACTGAAGCCCTGTACCCCAACTCACCCAGCTCATCAGTAATCTCTCAGTCCCCAGTCTGCCCTCTTGCTCGGTGACAGCAGCTGGGAGCAAATCATCAACATATTGAAACAGGGTAACTTGAGGATTTTCTGACCTGAACAGAGCCAAATCTCGATGGAGGGCTTCATGGAAGACAGTAGGGGAGTTTTTGAATCCCTGAGGCAGACGTGTCCAAGTCAGCTGTCCAGCCTGTCCCCAATCTGGGTCTCTCCATTCAAAAGCAAAGATCGCCTGGCTTGTAGGATGTAGTCTCAGGCAAAAGAACGCATCTTTCAAGTCCAGAACCATGTACCATCGTCTGTCAGGAGGGAGAGAACTGAGCGGGTTGTAAGGGTTAGGGACAGTAGGATGGATATCTTGCACCCTTTTTTAATTTCTCTTAGATCTTGTACTGGCCGGTAATCATTGGTGCCTGGCTTCCTAACTGGCAGCAGTGGAGTGTTCCAGGGAGACTGGCAAGGAACCAGAACACCTAGTTGTAGGAGTCTTTGGATGTGAGGTCTGATGCCCTTCGGGCTTCCTTACTCATAGGGTATTGTCGTACCCCAATAGGGGTTGCATCAGTCTTTAGGCTTAGGACGATGGGGGCACCCGTTTGGCCTCTCCACTGCCCCCCCGTCTCTGCCCATGCTCTGGGGAACCTCTCTAGCCATGTTCCCCCCAGTGTCTTGTCTGGCGGGGCTCATGTAATCTATATTCTTCCTCCAGCTTTAAGGCCAAGATCATAGAAGTGGGAGTCTGCCAATTGACTATGGTTCCTTCCGAGGAAAAGCTTATTTGGGCTATTAGCTTAGACAGCAAATCTCTCCCCAGTGGTGGCTTGGGGCACTCAGGGATGACGAGAAAGGAGTGAGTTCCTTGACCTTTTCCCAGATCAACCTTCCTGTCGGTGGTCCAATAATATGGTTTCTGGCCAGTGGCCCCAATTACTAGGCTTTTTTTTTTTTTTTTTGGTTTTTCGAGAAAGGGTTTCTCTATGGCTTTGGAGGCTGTCCTGGAACTAGCTCTTGTAGACCAGGCTGGTCTCGAACTCACAGAGATCCACCTGCCTCTGCCTCCCAAGTGCTGGGATCAAAGGCGTGCACCACCAACGCCCGGGTACTGTTTTTTTTTTTAATCTTTTAATTTTCCCAGTGGTTTCTTTAAAACTGAAAATTCTGCTCCAGTGTCAACAAGGAAGTCCATAGGGGTCCCCTCCACAGTTAGGGTTACCCTAGGCTCGGGGGAGGGGACCCGAGCCCCGTCTCCCCTAATCATCTTCCTCTAAGGTGAGGACCTTGGGTGTCTTATGTTTCTTCTTGGGGCAGTACCTTGCCCAATGCCCCTTTTCCTTACAATTAGCACATTGATCCTTATCTAAAGGCTGCCGAGGGGGTCCTTCAGGGTTCCGAGGTCTCCTTGGCCCTTCATTGTCCAGGTACTCTGTCTGCCTAGTTCCTTCTTCCTTCCTATGAGCTTCCTGTCGCCTACTACTGCGGCCAAAATCCTAGTTAAGTTTCTTTCTTGCCTTCTATCTCGTCTATCCTGTGTCTCCTCAGCTTCCTTCTTTTCTCTTTCTCTTCTTTCTTCCTCAGTCTCTCTCTTTTAGTACACTTTCTCTGCTTCCTTAATGAGGTCTTGCAAAGATAATGTTTGCAGACCTTCCAGGCGCTGTAACCTTCTAATATCAGAGGCAGACTGTCCAATAAAAGCCATAGCCACTGCTGCTTGCTGACTCTAGGAAGTAGTATCAAAGGGAGTGTAATGCCTGTAAGCCTCTAAGAGACGTTCTAAAAACACAGATGGGGGTTCCTTCTCCCCTTGTAGAACTTCCCTTACCTTGGCCAAATTAGCGGTACGCCTGCCGGCTCTCTTGAGACCTGCCACCAGAGCCCGGTGATAGACCGTCAGCGGCTCCCTACCTTCAGCTGTGTTGTAGTCCCAGTTGGGATGATTTAAGGGGAAGCCTGCATCTGTTTCATTCTGAAGTTGAGTTGGTTGACCATTGATTCCAGGCACATTCTTCCACGCCTCCAAAAGTATTCTCTCTCTTTCCTCGGTGGTGAAAAGAACCTGCAAAAGCTGTTGACAAATCGTCCCAAGTAGGCTGGTGAGAGAATATGAGGGACTCCATCCGACCTGTAAGGCTCGAGGGATTCTCTGAAAAAGGGGCATGGTTAGATTTCCAATTGTAGAGGTCGGCCGAAGAGAAGGGCCAACACTGGAGTAATTGCAGCTGGTCAGGGTTTGCTGGTGGGGGCCGTATACACACAGAGGCAACGCTGTAGTTGAATCTGGACCCTCAGGACTCTGGGCACGTCTGCTCCTGGTCCTGGCGGCCGGTCCTTCTGCTGCTCCTCCAGCGGCACCCTGTTGAGGATTCTGAGGGGGTATCAGGAGGGGATAAGGGGGTGGGATACTAGGCCATTCTGGAGGCTCCTCAATTTCGGGATATATCTTAGGAGGAGCCGAGGCTTGAGTCTTATTTGGCAGTTTAGACTCCGCCATTTCTGCTTTCGTTTTTTTCTCCGTGTTGTGGAGCGCCAGGACTCGGGAGCCTGGCTTACTTTTCTGGGTCCAAGGTTTTAACCAGGATGGAGGATCTTGTGCCAGATCTTCCCAGACACAAATATAAGGTCCTTGGTCAGGGTGAGGTCCTGGTCCCTTTGAAAAACCATATTCTTAATGGCAGAAATCACAGTAAGGTCAAGTGTACCCTCCAGAGGCCAGCCAATGTTGTACATTGGCCATTCTGAAGAACAAAAAGTTCTCCAAGGTCCATTCTTAACTTCTACAGACAGGTTGCATGCCCTAGTTCTAATTTCTGTCCAGTGGTCGAGAGTTTGACCAAGAGGGGTACTGACAGTCTGTCCCATTGTCCAAGTCACACAAAAGAAGACAAACAGAACACTCAGAAAGACAGAGAAAGCCAAAACCAGAGCCTGCCTCTTGTGGGACTTTCAACACCAGGAAGCAGAATCAGACGGCCGAGGGGACGCAAAGTCTCTCCTGGGCACCCAAACAGGAAATCTCCGGTCATCCCTGGACTTCCCTCAGACCTCCTGGGACGTCTCCCAGGGCGACAGTTGGTTATCTCCTGACACATCTGTTGATAACTCTCCTCTCCATCCCAGATAGGGAGATCATTCTCTCACGATCGTGGACAACTGCAAACCAAAAGTACCAGATTCAGACAGCCGGCAGACAAAAACACAAAGACAGAATATTACCTCCAAGAGGGGTCCCCAAGAATTTGGGTGGTTGCAAATCCCAGACGAGCCCCCAACTGAAAGACCCCCCTGGAGTGGGGAGACCCTCACTCAAGTCTCAGGATAAGCCCACGCCCCAATAATTCAAGAGAGACCATTCTTGATGCAAGCACACGATGTTTATTCGGGGAACCAGTGCACTGGGGCTGAGCTCATGACCCTCGCAGGGACAGAGGAGTTCGACCCCAGTAGCTGCAGGGGGGGGGGTTAAAAGGGAAAAACTGAATGGGGGAGTTAGGCAAACATCATAAAAGATGAGGAAGTTAAATGATAGCTTATGTCTTAACAGGAAGGTTATCTCAAGCAAGCATTCTTTGGGCATTGTACAGTTAAACATTGAGCAGGAATGTGGTGAGCTAGTTCCTGGATCAGGGAGGGTTATCTTTTAAGTTTATCTTGAGGTCTCCGGTTTCTCAGGAGAGGGCAGAAGGGCAAGTCACTCTGTGATGGGCTAGTCACTAGGGGTCTAAAAATGTTGAGTTGGGAGCTCTCAGGTTCCCAATGGCACATCTAACACTGAAGAACTCTAGTGCTATGAGCCTTTCAGAAAGAAGGTGTGCTCAGGAGAGCTGTGTGCTCAGGAGAACTCTGTCAGGGAATGAGGCTGCATCACCTATAATGCCAGAGTGAAAACGCTGTTCACAGAGCACCCTGTAACTCCTTTCAAGCTCCAAGTCTGTAGCTCTGTGGTGGGAGCCTGGCCTTACATGCAGGGGTCCGTCCGAGACAGGAGGGAGGGAGAAAGGGCAAAAGCAAACACCATTCTTCCAACCAGCACCCCCTGCTTACGAGAGAAGCCCCGTGTTTCAGTGCCGACTGCCATAGCCCACCCAGGCTGGTTCCCTGCCCTCAGAGAGCTTTGGTTTTAAGGCCCGGATTATCAGGGTTCATCTGAAAGCACATCTCAGAGCACCTTCCCAGCAGCCTCAGGGAAGCTTAGTCACGATGACATATAAACTCAGAGGAGAGCGAGCACAGTTGTCATTGTCTCCATGTGGGGCTGTGGAGAAGAGTGGGCCAGGGGCCAGAAGGAGCCCTCTCTGGGTCCTCTGCGGATGCTCACAACCCTGGGTACCAGAAGTGTGGCTCCTGGTTAACCAAACACCTCAGAAAGCCCCTCTCCCATCACCCCATGCCCTCCAGCAGAAGTTTAGCAGAACCCCCTAAAACTAGAACCGTCCTCACGCCCTTTCATGCTTCCCGGCAGCCATCACTGGCCACGCTGGCCCAGTTCACCTCTCTGAGAGGACGCCTGTGTCTTGACCTTTCATCCCCCAGCTCCACCCTCCACGCCCACCCAGCGGAGCCTCAGAGACTTGGGGACCGACAGGCACCCTGGACAAGTCATGGGTCACCAGCCACTTCTCTTCTGTGCCTATAACCATTTAATCATCCCCCCTGGGGATTTGCATGACAGCCCTCCTGCACTTGACTGCTCAGGGAGTTTTCTGGTTTCTCGCCTCAATTAACCCTGGCTTCCTGGGTCACAGTGGATCCCCACACCAGAACTGGGCTTGAAATCCCGCCTGCCTGTGCTTCAGGGGGCTTCCGTCACTTCTTGGTCCTTTTTTTCCCATCAGCAAGCCAGGCTGTAACCACCGTTTCATGAGGATGGCAGAGCTCTCAGCCTCACTGGGACCTGTGACATGCTTATCGGCAACAAAACTGCAAAGATGACCTATGCTACCCTGTGCCCTCCATGCATGTCCAATCAGCATTGGAGCCCTCTGCCTCTCCCTGCTGTATGTCATCAACAGAAAACAGTTTTTGAAAAATTTGACAGGTCAGGAGTATGGAAAAGATTCAGAATGGAGCCTCCAGAACCTGTTCAGGTGGTAGCTCCCTGTAGTAACCACACAACATGAACTGGGCAGTAGCACGGAAACCCAGAGGGAGAAGGATGGGCTCCCAGGCCCGAGCGGAGCTGCATGTGTTCAGCAAGGTACACTGGGCACCCCTGGAGTGACAATTTCCAGATTCCTGGTATAGAACTAAGGAACAGAGGAGCACAAGGTTCAGGTGCCAGACCTGGGTACAGACCAAGGAAACGTGATGCCTGCAAGACCTCAAATTCTTGGGGCCAGCACCCAACACTTGACACCTACTGAGGTCCCCAGGCCAAACAAGCTGCCACAGCACAATATCCCATAGGTTGGGGGGCTTTCCAAGACTCCCGGTTCCTGAACCCACCCAATACCCAGATGCAGCCTCCTATCCCACACTGAATGAGACTTGGCTCTCGATGTGGGACTTGTCATGAGACTGGGAAGTGGGGCCAGGATCGATGGTTGTATGTTGAGCTTCTGAAGCTGGGCCTTAGTGGCTAGTGAAGCAGAGACATCACAGAGCACAGATGTCAGACTGCAACCACAGGCTGAGACACCAAAAGGAATCCAGTGTGGCAGTAAGGAGAAAGAAAAGCTGTGAAAGTGAAATTTGCCATCTGTGAGAGGAGGAAACTGAAAATGTGTTCTCCAACCCATGCAAATCATCCGTGGCCTTGTGTCCGCACCTGCAACCGCTCACAGCACACATACCATCCGGGCTCTGGTTCCCACACAGTCTGCACTGGAGCTACGCAGCAGGTGGGAGGAACAGTGTTCTCCCTCCACGGTGGGCAATCCCTGGATACTCAAGCAGTACTTGGAGGGGTTTTGCCCTTCCCAGGGCCTCCGGCTGAACAGCAGCTTCTTCTGTAGGCTGGTCAAAATGACGGTTATTAGGAAAGACCCTGTTAAAGACAATGTTCCAACCTCCATCAGCTCTCTCTGTCTCTCTCTCTCTGTTTCTCTGTCTCTCTCTGTCTCTCTCTCTCTGTCTCTGTCTCTCTCTCTGTCTCTCTCTGTCTCTCTCTGTCTCTCTCTCTCTGTCTCTCTCTCTCTGTCTCTCTCTGTCTCTCTGTCTCTCTCTCTCTGTCTCTCTCTCTCTCTGTCTCTCTCTCTCTCTCTCTCTCTCTCTCTCTCTCTCTCTCACGGCTGCTCACCCCCACCTCTCTGCCTTGGGTTCCAACTCTAGAAACATACTCTTTTGTGGGAATTTGCTTTGTCCCTGTGGTTGCTGCTGGAAATGCCAATCTTCCCTACTCCCCTACCTGGCAAGAGGTTCCATGGGAAATTTCCCTCCCACTCCAGGCACCATCACTATCTCTCAGCCTGGCCTCCTCCCTCTATGCACGCATTTCCTCACCGGAGGCCTTGGTAATATTTTATAACAGTTTGTTTTCATTCACCCAGCGAACCGCCTTTATGCAGCCCACCCCCAACATCCTGGCCTCTGTTTTATAGAACCATCCTGATGCTCTGCCTGGAGCTAGGCACTGCACCTACAAATCCCAACCAACCAAAAGAGACCTCCTAGCAAGTCATTAGAATCACACATCTGCCCTCCTTGTCTCAGATGTCACTGGGAATAAATGAATGGCTGTTAACAGAGTTTCTTTTCGTAATTCTCCATTCCTACCCTAAACAACTAATAAGAGACCACAGTTTTTAAGTCCCCAGTATCAGCACTCTTCCAGGCTCTGCACATCCATACACAATACCCATGACAGAGACATGCCAGCACCAGACAGGAAAGCAAACCATGGTGTGTGCTGCTGTCCTGGAAGCAAGGACCAGTGCCACTGCTGAGACGGGAAGGCACATCAGGTTCCTAGCGAGCAGGATGGGGCCACCCCGGGCAGGAGAAGCAATGTGCACAAAGGGGCAGTGGCTTTGTGAGGCGTGGGCTCGGTGGGCAGGAAGGGGCCAGACTGAGCAAGGACAGGGGCAGGACCCAGAATTCCCCCTGCTGGAGCCGATGGTGCAGTGGGGAAGCAGGTTCACTCACAGGCATCCTCAGAGCTGGGGAGTCACGTGCACCTCTTTCCCCAAGGTCTCGCAGAAATATTTATTCAGGATCTCTCGTCCTGGGAAACACGAGCGTATCAGAGGCCATTCCCAGGCCACGGTCACCGCAGACTCAACCCACTGTGGTTACATCCATCACAGGGCACCAGCCAAGACGTGTTCTTCTGGCTCTGCTTGTCTGAGGCGCACCCATGGGTAGGAGTGTTTTACTGCTTTGTTGCAAACATGGAGTTGAGGTGTTAAAGTTGGAGGAGCCCGAACTTAACAATAGTTTCCTAATCACCGCACTGCAGAAGCAGGCCCCTCAATAAGAAGAGCTTTATCCTCTTCTTTAGAAAGCTTACACGTAAGCGTCGAGGACCACAGCATACAGCATCTCCCCACACCTTGCTCCAGTCCTCGGCTTAAGAGACCCTATTAAACTCAGGGTGGATTTTCTATGCCCAATGGTTTTTCCACTTTGTCTTTTAATTTTTACTTTAAGGACTTAATTTTAACAAAAGAGCCAAATTACCACCCAGCTTAAAATGTACTTGTTTAGGGAAGTTAAAAACAGGCTTTAGAATATGGAGCTGTAATTGACTTTGCAAGGTGATAATTACGTGGCCCTTGTATCCCCTGCTTCAGCAGCCTGAGGTGTCTGCTTCCACCGAGAGCCTTAAGATACCCCACTCCCAGCCTGAACCCTGGGCTGAAGACACCAGGCTCCTCAGCCTGCATCTCAGACACCACAGTGTCAGGAATGGATAGTTGGTTTGATGGCATGAAAACACAGACAGGACATGGGGTTAGTATATAAGAGACAAATGCCTTCTTAACAAAGTGTGGTTCCGCCTTAGAAGCCAAGAGGGCTGCACTCAAACCCAGTGACAGCAGGGGATGCATGGGTTCTCTGGAATTGTTTGGTTGTGGGTTAAATTGTGTTCCAGAACATGCCTGTGTTGATGTTCAACTCCCTGGTACCTCAGAATGGGAGTGTACTTGTGGATTGCACCTTTAAGGTGGAGATTAAGCTATAATAGGGGGCTCAATCTAGTCTGTACGGGGTCCTTATGAGACCAGGAGAGACGATACTTGGAACCACAAAGAGATTTCCATATGAAGAGAAGACAAGAGGGTTGCCATCTGCAAGAAAGAGATAAGTTTACCACTGCTGGTACCATGACTTCAGGCTTCTGTGGTTGAAACCTGTGGTATGTTGCTATGGCAGCCAGGCAGATAATGCAGATTCCATTTGCCATATGTGGAAAGAGTCATATAAGGTGAGTCTTTGGCCTGGTGTATTCACTGCCAGGACATACCCTAAAGGTTAACTAAGAGCCCTTAAAGAATTACCTACTATGTCCATAGAACATTGTCACAATTGAAACTGTGAGAATGTTTGCCTGTAAGAGAATGGGGAAGTAAATGATCATAACTGACTCAGTAAGCAAAAAGAAGCCACTAAGTTACCAGGTCAGCTGGTAATGAGGGTGCCCCTCCTTCAACCGGGTTAATGGATAAACAGACTCAGATATGTCCTTGAAATGGAACGTTCTCGGCAAAATTGAACATTGTACTACATGGAGGAATCTCACACACAGTGTGAGAAAAGGGAATCAGACACACCCTTCTGCCAAATTTAAAATAGCCAAAACTAATCTATGATGTCTGAAGTTCCCCTGGAACAGAGTGACTGGAATTGGGTGCCAGGGAACTTCTGAGTTGCTAGAAATGTCCTACATTTTAATCTAGGCCCAAAGACCTTCTCTTGAGATCTCTAGCTGCATCCCACAATGCACTTGTCTACCTCCATTGGGCCCCAACCTCTGGGTTACCTAAGACAGATAATTCCCCAGCACATATGAGAAGACCACATTAGCCTTCCAGTGTGCCCTGATTTACCTAGCTGTATCCCAAACATGAACTTTGGATATGGAAATTACTCTGTTCACAATACCTTTATCTTAATAATTATTTTAGAAGGCAATGCAAAGGGGATAGAAATTGACATAATATGCACCGTGACTACAATCTGTATGTGGCCACAGTTAGCACAGGGTATGAGGCACCACCGGGGAGACGACTCGCCGAGAAGCATCTCACCTGCGTTCGTCCGATGCCCAGGAGCAGGCCAGCAGAGGCTCGCTCAGAAGAGAAGGCGGACAGTCCTGATGGGTATCAGGGTGTGGTGAATGCTGGATAAGCAAGAGCACGGACAGGGCCACCCTCCTGCAGATGGAGCTGTGTGGCTGCAGGAACAGTCCCAGCATGGCTGACCACGGGTGGCCTGGGTTCTTGATGACCTCACAGGAGAGTCAGGCATTGTGAGGGAAAACACAGAATGTGGTCATATGCACGGGTCCAAGGGACAACACTGAAGTCCCAAGCCATTATACTTGGGGACCCAGACGGGTAAGTAGGGCACAACACGGGCCCCGAGACTGTGAGCCTGGTGTACAGGCGGGTGTGTGGGGAACGAGGGCCTTGGGGAGCTTCAGCCTTGGGGACTGGAGAAGGTGGAGTTGGCATGAAGTAAGGAGACACCAGAGCAAGTTCGGGTTGAGACCCAGGGCAGGGGGCAAGGACTCTCAGGTGGCCTGTTTCCCCTTCCGTTGCCTGCCTTGTTTCTCAATGAGATCCGGCTGGGGAGGATTCTCAGAGGTGGCGGCTCACTTTGCTTTACGTCTTCCCTTGGTACCCTCCTGCCCCAGTTTACTGAGCGGGCAGCACTTAAGCCCAGACAAGAGAGTCTCTGGCAAAGGTGGTGAGCTAAACTCCTGTGAGCCCACAGGCAGCGGCAAGGGGCTGTCCAGGTTCGGCTGATGCCTGAGGCCCCGCTCCCTGGAGCTGCCAGGATCAGGACCTGCTCTGCCTCCCCGCTCCCCCACGGGAAAGCCCTAGGCCAGGCACTGCCTGAGGACCAAGAGAGTGAGTCAGAGTCGAGCCTGCCAGTTAGCAGAACTTCCCTCTGAGTGGGGTATTTTGGGTGGGTTTTTCAATTATCCAAATTAGCATGAGGTAAATTCCCACGGAGAGGGGCTTCTCATTTTTATAAGAACAGCTGTCAAAGTGGGAGTGAGTGTGCAAATGACCTGCCTGTCTGTGGTGTGCCGAGCAAGACGGGACAATGACACCAGCCATGTTCTAATCCCACCCTCGCCTCGCCGGGGACTGGCTCTCCACAGCCAACAGTGAGCGCATTCACCACTTCTCCAGTGCAAATCAGCGGGGCCCACCCTGGGCCAGCTGCTGAGGAGTTAGGGAGAAAAATGTTGGCCTGCCCCATAGAAGCCTCTGGAAGGAAGACGGGAAAGACCCCTCCATCAAGATGCAGGGCTGTGTACCTCCAGCCCTCTAGCAAGGGGCTGCAGCATGGAAGGGTGCAAGGGACAGTAGTCATTTCATAGTCACCTACCCCGGGAGCCAGCTCATCCTGTCACCAGCCTCCCTCCCTCTGTGGTCCCCTCACCCAACTCTGTGCTCTGCTAAAAACAGTGAGTGTCAGGGTTGAGAAATGGAACCCAGGATATCACCTTTTGTAAAACTGGGAATAGAGCTGTGTGGTTTGTGGTCAGTGTGTTGATTTGAGGACTGCGTGTATGTATCCAGAGAGACTACAGAAAGGGCTATAGAGGTATATGAAATACAGATGTCAGGGTTAGGGACTTATCAACAGCTCCGAAGCAGAGCATGGCAAGGACAAAGCTCTGGGGTCATTCCCCAAGAGGGAAAGAGGGGGAGGGCCAGAGAGGCATGTAGGGTGGGGGAGAAAACCAGGAAACCTATGTCTCCATGTGGCTTTGCATGTTCCTAGCAGAAAGCTGGAGGGTGGGCACCGAATGCTCTCCTGCTTGTCCCCATTGTCCCCAAGCCCCTTCTTCTTGCCCATCTCTGGGAAGCATGTTGTTGCTCTCCTATGAAGCAGGGTTTGACTTGATTACAGCATGAATTGCACTGGAAGCTTTGTAACAGGATTTTCTGTTTCCCGGGGGTCTGTCTCCTCTCCTGTTGAGTGGTGAGGTCATGCTTCTGTTGCCAGCACTGGGCACAGCCAGAGCAGAGAGGGAAGAGAGCATTTGTTAGAAATGGGCAGGGATGAGCCTGGCACCCCAGTGAAGTGCAGACACAGGCGGTGGCCAGTCACAGAACTCCATGCCTGGAACAGCACTTGGAGCCTGCTTGCTCTGAGTTTGCTGGGCTTGGAAAAGCCAGTTTGAGTGAGCAGGAGTTATGAAGAGGGGTGCCCCTCTTCAGTCTCTCAGTCCATAAAATGTGGGGCTGCCCTGGGACACTAGAGTAGAGGATACTGATTGAGCAGTCCCCGGAAATGTGTCACTAAGTCTAACCTTTCTCATTGTACAGTAAAGGAACTTACTTCAGATGATTAAAAAATAAAGACAAAACCGGGTGTTGGAGGCACACACCTTTAATCCCAGCACTCGGGAGGCAGAGGCAGGCAGATCTCTGGGAGTTTGAGGCCAGCCTGGTCTACAGAGCGAATTCCAGGACAGCCTCCAAAGCTACAGAAAAAACCTGTCTTAAAATAAATAAATAAATAAGTATGAGATATTTGTCCTTGAACCACTCAATGTCTTCACGCAGTTACTCATGGTGCTTGAGTATAAACGCGACATTCTTGCCTACATGTTGCAGGGGACTGCTCACACAGCTTTACATTCTGACTCTGTTTTTTGATTCTTCGTGAATCACATCATGCACCCCAATCTCACTCATCTCCCCTACCCTGTCCATCCATAGATGTCCTCCTTCCAAGCTCGCAACTCCCCCCCAAAAAAACAAAACAAATTCCCACTGTGCAAGCTGCAGTATGCCACACAGCACACCTTTGCCCAAACACATTCACTAGCAAATGTCCATTGCCATGAGTCGTTGGTCTGGCTGAGGCCTCCTCTCAGCCATCCTGTTGTCCTGTGTCATGGAGACCCTGCAGCTTTGGTTCTACAGGACCTGTCCCTTCATGCTCCAGCAGGAGGGAGTAGGTGTCGGATCTGGATCTGAGCCTGGGTGGGAACAGAGTTGATCACCCACTCTCCTGCACCGGAGTCACCAGGCGAGGGGCAGGGCTGGCTCTCCTGCCTGTGCTGAGGTTGTAGAGCTCCTGAGTTGCCATTTGTAAGTAAGGACAGCCAGGGAGGACCCCACAAGCAAGGAGAACCAGAGCCACTCAGTTACAGGACCACCATCCAAATTGTGCCCTTGGAAATTGTTAGTGATTTAACCAGAGACGTCTGGAATCCCTCTACTCAGGAGGCCAGGGTTACATAGCAACTCCACAGCCAGCCTGAGTTGCACAGAGAAAGGCCCTGTCTTGACCGTTTTATTATTTATTTACAGTTGAATTTCAATTAGAGTCAATGTGCCCCATAATGACTTTTTGGTCAAAACTGGCCTTGTGTAAGACAGTGGTGTCACATGACTCTATGACCCAATGATACAGTCACCTGAGTTTTTGACGATGAAATATCTAGCAATGTGCTTTTCAGATCACATCTCTTATAAGCAACAGTGTCTGTGCTCCCCATAAATAGGAAAAGGCCACTGAGCCGAGGAAGGTGTGAGGGCTTTAAGCTGTGTAAAGACATGGTTTGTCCCTGAGAAGAGCACTGTGGCCAGCAGATTAGGGAAGCAGAGGGCGGAGGTGGGGCTCTGGGGGAGAGTCAGGACTAGAGCAGGCCAAAGGTGCCTAGTTCACCCCTCCCTGAATCCCCACCCTGGTTGTAGGCCTCCCTGGGAGGGGCATCCCTCTTACCCCCAGACATTGTTGTTAACCTTGTGACCTCCTTTGGTCAATGGTGTGTGACAGGGTCAATAGATACCAGTGGGAGACTTGACTTCAAGAGCTCTTCCGAATCCCTGCTCACCCTCCCAGGCACCTGCAATTCCCGTGGCCGGCACCTGCGCAGAAGCCCTCGGGTCCTGGCAGGTGAATCAGAGCTACCCACTGGCTGGTTGGCCGGCGCTCCTGGCCAAGCAGCTGAAATCAGTGGGACTCAGGGCATGAGACCAACTCTGCTGGCCCTGCCACCCAGTGTGACAGAGCGAGGTTGGAAGGATGCCAGCCAAACCAAGACACACTCGGGAGAGCAACCGGAACCGGCAGTCAGTCGAGTGAGGCAGAGCCTTAGAGAACTAAACATTTGTTTCAGGGTCTGGAAAACCCGAGATGCCAGCACCTGGGACGAAGAACACAGGAGAAAACAACCTCCCGTGTCAGGCTCCTCCCCCCAACTGTTTCTTTCCCCTCTTCCCAAGGAGACAGGGGCCTGTGCCTGCAGGCTAAGCCCCTGGCCAGCATCCCTGGCGTTCAGAGGCTCCTCCAGCAAGGTCTTAACCTCCAGGAAACAGCCGTTAGGATACCCTTCCTTTTGGATCATGCAGTGGCCCAGCCCCTCCCCCAGCCATGAGTGGGGGCAACTCAAGGAAGGTCTGCTGATTCCCCGGGTTTGTGTAAAGAGAGCGGCCTTAATCTCTTGCTTTTATTTACTTAAGAACGCCAGGTGGAGGTGCACGCCTTTAATCCCAGCACTTGGGAGGCAGAGGCAGGTGGATCTCTGTGAGTTCGAGACCAGCCTGGTCTATAGAGTGAGTTCCAGGACAGGCTCCAAAACAATACAGAGAAACCCTGTCTCAGAAAACAAAACAAAAACAAACAAACAAACAAAAATGCTAGGATTTGCAGCAGTGAAATTGCCCAAAATACTCACTTCTCTTACTCCCAATGGACAAATTGATCTCTGCTTGCATTAGATAATTGTTTTCAATTAGGGGACAGCAACCTTATTTTGTTGGGGTGGGGGAGACCAAACAGTTTTCCCCATCCAAGAAACAAGGAGGCTAGGAAAGGAAGCAGCCGGCAGGCAGGAGCAATGCCCCTTCGGAGTCCATGCTGCGGTGGGCTTTGATCCAGTAGACTGGGTGGGACCTCTGACTTGCCCTTTGACCTCCTCCGCCTGCCCCAACCCTGATGCCATTCTTTGGAGAAGGGAACACCTCACTAGTCTTGCTCTGTACCCTCCCAGTGCCGAGATGGCAGCTGGTTATCACAGATGTAGGCTGCTTCCGGCCAATCTTGTCACTCAGCATTGATTGTCACTTGTGCCCATCATTCTCACAGGATCGTGGTGCCTTTTGCTCCTTGCATCTGACTGGGACACTTTGCGGTCTTCACTGTTGACACACACCTGGGAAATCCCCTCCTCCACAGAAGCTGGGCGACTGCCAATGTCTCCCCCCTAGTGGCCTGTCCTTGCCTGGTTCCACCTTCACTGAGTTGGAAAGGCAGTGCAT